ATGAAAGCAGGATGAAGTTCACCTTTAATTGGCAGCCGTGCCCCTATGTCGTTGCTGATGGGATGTTGTGGCGCAGTGAATGATCCGCTCAGAGGCACGCAGCGCGGGGGGAACGTCATATCCCGCCATGTGCAGATTCTACAGATTCCACTTCCAGGAGGAGACATTCTGAGAATCCTCTGCAGGGCTCCCCGTAGGCCTCCTGAACTTTATACACACTTATCTTTGGACCCGCTGAACCTTCCCGGGAGCCAGATGGGAGGGAGAGCAGAGCGCTCTGCCCATTAACTCGTCATACACCCGGGGAGGCCGCATTCATCAGCCTCGCCGCTGCTGATGTCACAGGCATGAGTGACACAGAGGCGGCCTTTGTGTAGCACCGCTTAGCGGACATGCGTGTCTACGGAAATACAGACATATTGACTTTCCCCCCTCACGTACGGAGAGAGAGAATCGCTGACCCTAAACAAAGAACCCAGTACGCAAAAAGTGTCAGATCCCAAAAATAAAACTACAACTCCGAGCCCCATTTACATCTATAGACCGGCCACATGACGCCAGTGCAATAAGGCTCGGCGTGGGGGATGGGATTTTATTGTAGGGGCCCCTGTGTCCCTATAAGTGGAAGAAGCCTGAGCATGTCGGACCCGACAAACAGAGTTTAGGACAATGCAACCAAACCGTCCCCGATACAGTTCTGTAAATGACGCGGACGCTCGTGTTGCGATGGATTGCCGCACACACATGACACGGACGCTCGTGTTGCGATGGATTGCCGCACACACATGACGCGGACGCTCGTGTTGCGATGGATGGTGTATCGGATTGCCGCACACACATGACGCGGACGCTCGTGTTGCGATGGATTGCCGCACACACATGACACGGACGCTCGTGTTGCGATGGTTAGTGTATTGGAATGCCGCACACACATGACGCGGGAGAAGTTGGAGTGACGGGCGGGAACAGATGGTAAATTAGGTTATCGGTGACTGACGCCCGGCAGCAGCAGCAGCTGTGTGCAGATCCTCAAGGTCTATAAACAGCAAGTAGTTCCAGGTACGGCCACAGCTGTAGATGGTATTGCTGAACCCCCTCTGAAAATACCATGTGACTGGCTGTCTCTGGCTGCAATGCTTCACAAGTCACAGGCCAGGAGGACTGAAGCTGGAATCCCTAGCCAGTCGGTATGACGGCCAGAGAACATCATTTAGCTTTGGGTATAGCCTTTGTTTGGCACTATTTGTCTTTACTTCCTGTCCCAGGGACACAACAGGAAGTGAGAGGAAAACGCTTAGACAGTTGTCCCCATTGGAAGATTTGCCCTCCAATGGTACTGGTGACAACTAACATGAGAGACTCATTTTCCAGGACAAATTTAATCTCCCCGACGGGGACACAACCCGAGCCTTACACATTGAGAGGCCCTGCGAGTGACTCTGGGAGGAGAACTACAAGTGCCAGCCATAGCTGAACAATAATCAGAGCAGCCCGGGGATGCGTGCAGTCAGTCGGCGCTGGCATCGGGGGCCCCAGTGGTGCTATGATGTGGCCGGGCCCCCTCACAATGGGCCTGTGTCACTCTCAGCGTGAGCAGCTCTGGGATGAAAGCCACAGAATTCGTAAGAGACTCCGAACACTGCGCCTCTGTCATCCGGGACTGCGATCCCCCCCGGGGGCCCCGGGAATGCTGGGGGTTCATATGGGAACATCGGAGCGCGCGTGTGCTCGCATACAGATCCCTGTCCGCTCCCTCCAAGCCTAGAAAGATCCCCCCGCTCCCTCCAAACCTAGAAAGATCCCCCCGCTCCCTCCAAACCTAGAAAGATCCCCCCGCTCCCTCCAAACCTAGAAAGATCCCCCCGCTCCCTCCAAACCTAGAAAGATCATCGCATACAGATCCCCCCCCCCCCCCCCCCAACCCTAGAAAGATCCCCCGCTCCCTCCAAACCTAGAAAGATCCCCCGCTCCCTCCAAACCTAGAAAGATCCCACGCTCCCTCCAAACCTAGAAAGATCCCACGCTCCCTCATCAGGATCATCATGACGAAGGGTCCTCAAACTTCCTCAACAAAGGGCCAGTTCCATGTCCGTCACACCTCAGGCCAGCAGGTGTAGTAAGTGCCCTGTGGCTGAGATCTTCCGTGAGGGGCCCCATCGCTATGCCAACAAACTGTTCAATTGGCATCTATGTCAAGGCGCCCCCCTTCATCAGGGCCCCAGGCTGGATGGAAGGTCGTAGATGGTTGCAACCATCAACTGCCGATGAGCGTGCCCGAAGGGGTATCTTCTACCTCAAGTTCCCCATCTAAGACCTTCTACACAAGTCTGGAGTCCAGGTCAAGGGAACGGGCTACTTGTAGAGATTCTCCTGGAACTTTGTATGGGAATAAACTTGTATTTGGAGCTTCCGGCCTCATCTTTGTCTAGTTACAGTCGAAGAGGATCTTGGGAGGCCCCGTGGTTTGGGGCAGCGGTCATCCTGGGGTCAAAGCACGTCCCTGCCATTTCCACACCATCAGGTGGAAACATGTACAGCTTTGGGGACCTCGTGCCACCCAACTACCCCTCAAATATAAAGAACTAAAAAGGGATTTTAACCATTCCCTACTCTATCCCAAACTAACACCTTTCGGTTTCAGATATTACTTCAATAGGGACCTACTCCGCCATTGGGGCGAGTAGAGGGCAAATAAGGCGGCTTTTCATGTCTTACTTACACGTGGTCACAATGTTAGGAGCAGTGGTTAGTTCAGTGGTTCTCAACCTTTCTATGGCCGGGACCCCTTGGTGACATTTGGCAAGTGGTGGTGACCCCCAACCGTAAAATTTAGGGATGCACCAATATTAGTATCTGTGTGGGCTCTCAGGAGGCTATGTGGGCTCTCTGGTGGCTAGTGGGACTCTCTGTTGGCATCCAGTGGAGCCTCTGTGGTGCCCAGGTGCGGGCTCTGTGGTGATCAAGCACTCACCTCCCCTCACTCCTGCCTGCTCCCCTCTCTCTGATGCCCTCCGGCCGCTGCAGCGCTATCTAGGAGAACTGACACTGCTGCGCTAGATGGAGGCTGAGGAGCCTCTTACCTAGAGCAGCACAAGGCACGTGGGGACCCCCTCAACTGTGGGTTGCGACCCACTTTTAGGTCGCGACCCACAGGTTGAGAACCACTGGGTTAGGGAATGGTCAACGTAAATTAGGTGATCCTGGCAGGATGGGTTCCTGCGGATACCATGGTGCCGCATTGGGCCAGAGTTTGGCTTGCAGCAGAAGGTAACACTCTCTAGTATGAAGCAGCAGCAGCGAGGAGGGAGCTGATGCAACATCTAGGAGTCGCAGTGACACTCACCAACCTGGAATGTTCACAGATGGAGGTCACTGGATACCACACTTTCATCTATCAGAAGGACAGTCACCCCCCGACCACCCCCAATACATGGCACCAGGCCAACCAACCTACCTGATCATGTTCTCAACCTCAACTGGGATGCTCTTGAGCCGGTTGCCCCCCATAGACAGGGTCTTCAGGGTCTGTATCTGGAGGAGCTGGCTGGGGATCTCCTCAAACTGGTTCCCGCTGAGGTTTAGCACCTCCAGCTTCATGCTGCCCATCTCTTTGGGCAGCGAGAACTCATCCAGACGATTGTTCTTGGCCAGCAGAGTCTTCAGCCTGGTGAGGCCCAGGATCTCCTCGCCGATGAAGGCCATGCTGTTGTTGCTGATGTCCAGGAGGGAGAGCTGGGAGAAGGTGGCCACGGCAGGAGGGAGGACCACCAGGCGGTTGTGGGGCAGCAGCAGTTGTTGGACCTCCTTCTTCCGCTCGTCGGTCATCTGCTCCAGGCTCAGGTTGTCCAGGCCGAGGCGGGAGAGGCTTAGGACGTGCTCCCCCTCTGCTGGCTCCGGGCCCTCCATGGTTGGGTAGATACCCTTTTCTGAGACCGTAAGCTATCTTCTGGAGGACTCCCAGAAAAGTTAGTTACTAAGAGCAGGATGAGACTGGGGGCCCCCCAAAACAGAGTGTTGGGAACCCTAAATGTAGACACAAGGCCTCCTAGGTCCTAGGCCTCCTCACTAAAGGTAGAACAGAGTCCCAGGGCCCTTATAAGCAGAGCAGAGTTCCAGGGCCCCTTAGTAAAGGCAGAACAGAGTCCCAGGGCCCCTCAGTATAGGCAGTGTAGAGTCCCAGGGCCCCTCAGTATAGGAAGAGCAGAGTCCCAGGGCCCCTCAGTATAGTCTCTGGGCCCCTCAGTAAAGGTAGAACATAGTCCCAGGGCCCCTCAGTATCGGCAGAGCAGAGTCCAAGGGCCCCTCAGTATAGGCAGAGCAGAGTCCCAGGGCCCCTCAGTATAGGCAAAGCAGAGTCCCAGGGCCCCTCAGTATCGGCAGAGCAGAGTCCCAGGGCCCCTCAGTATCGGCAGAGCAGAGTCCCAGGGCCCCTCAGTATAGACAAAGCAGAGTCCCAGGGCCCCTCAGTATCGGCAGAGCAGAGTCCCAGGGCCCCTCAGTATAGGCAGAGCAGAGTCCCAGGGCCCCTCAGTATAGACAAAGCAGAGTCCCAGGGCCCCTCAGTATCGGCAGAGCAGAGTCCCAGGGCCCCTCAGTATTGGCAGAGCAGAGTCCCAGGGCCCCTCAGTATAGGCAGAGCAGAGTCTCAGGGTCCTTCTGGATACACACAGCAGAGTCTAGGGGCCCCCCACAGTAAAGACAGTGCAGAGTCCAAGGGCACTTCCGTATAAACAGAGCAGAGTCCCGGGGCCCCTGTGCATATACAAAGCTCTGTATTACCCCCGGCTTCAGTCCGGCCTCTGTACGGTGTGTGCAGCAATCTTCTGGCTTATGCAAGTCCCCGGAACGTTTACATAGATCAGAGGCCGCCACCCCGGAACTGGCACCGCACACCGCACTACCACCTCGGCGCCGAGCTGTATGTTTTATACAGAGGGCGGGGCCGTCCGGGGGTGGGGACACTGGGCAGTACACTATGAGGAGGGGGCGTGGACACTGCATACAGGGGGTGTGGCACGACGTTGCGAGAGTGTATGGGGTTCAGTTACAGGGGCGGGAGGTATCGAGCTGGTGACGTCAGTGAGGGGGCGGGGATCCAGAATAATAATACAAAGTACCAGGTGATCGTTCTACGTTACTCAGCACTTTCCTCTCCATCACCTGATCTGTATACATTGTATCCTGTACATCAACTGATCTGTATACATTGTATCCTGTACATCACCTGATCTGTATACATTGTATCCTCTCCATCACCTGATCTGTATACATTGTATCCTGTACATCAACTGATCTGTATACATTGTATCCTGTACATCAACTGATCTGTATACATTGTATCCTGTACATCACCTGATCTGTATACATTGTATCCTCTCCATCACCTGATCTGTATACATTGTATCCTCTCCATCACCTGATCTGTATACATTGTATCCTCTCCATCACCTGATCTGTATACATTGTATCCTCTCCATCACCTGATCTGTATACATTGTATCCTCTCCATCACCTGATCTGTATACATTGTATCCTCTCCATCACCTGATCTGTATACATTGTATCCTCTCCATCACCTGATCTGTATACATTGTATCCTCTCCATCACCTGATCTGTATACATTGTATCCTCTCCATCACCTGATCTGTATACATTGTATCCTCTCCATCACCTGATCTGTATACATTGTATCCTTGACGGACCCCCGTACTCAGGATGAGTATGTCCGCCGCTGTCTTCTTCCTTGCTGAGGAGATCTTGGAACCTGAAGATCTTTAGCTCCCAGTTTCCCCAGTCACTAGCCAAGGCTCAGTGTAGGTGAAACAAACTCTGGTTTATTGAGAAACTGCACAAACTTTTATACAGCAAGTGATGAAATCAGAATATAATCCCATCACATCTCCCCTCCTCCCAGACCATCGGTCTGCTCAACACCACAGGTGTCCACCTGCTAACGAACTCCAGACAGCCATAGCAAGAGCCTGGCCAGAATGTCATTGTTCTGAGCTCCCTCAGAGAACAATAGGAGATAACGAGGGATGGTGCTGATAGTCTTTCCATAACCAGGTTACTCAGTATAACGCACTCAAAACATAACTCAACACCAATACACATTTAACTTATAAACTCATCACCGTGTCGTCACAGTATCCTCTCCATCACCTGATCTGTATACATTGTATCCTCTCAATCACCTGGCCTGTATACACTGTATCCTGTACACCGTATGATCTGTATACATTGTATCCTCTCCATCACCTGATCTGTATACATTGTATCCTCTCCATCACCTGATCTGTATACATTGTATCCTCTCCATCACCTGATCTGTATACATTGTATCCTCTCCATCACCTGATCTGTATACATTGTATCCTCTCCATCACCTGATCTGTATACATTGTATATCCTCTCCATCACCTGATCTGTATACATTGTATCCTCTCCATCGTGTGCTGGAAATGGCATCCTTGTGACCACTGCAGCCTGCTCCTGACCCATGCACTTTGTACGTCGGGTCGTGTATGACATACCCCTGACCCATGAAGTTTGTACGCCGGATTGTGTAAGACATACTCCCCTGACCCTTGCACTCTGTATGCTGGGATGTATAGAAAAAATATTGCAATCAGGCTTGGTTCAGCATTTGGCCTTGAGTACCATCAAGGGACAAATCTTGGCCCTTAAAATCTGTTAATGCCAGGCTGTGAATGACATACCCCTGACCTCTACACTCTGTACACTGGGCTGTATATGACTTCCTCCTGACCCCTGATCTCTACACAGGGCTGTATATGACATACTCCTGACCACTACTCTGTACGCTGGCCCCTTCACTCTCTATGCTGGGCTGTATATGACATGCTCCTGGCCCCTGCACTCTCAATGATGGGCTGTATATGATATCCTCCTGGCCCCTTCACTCTCTATGCTGGGCTTGATATGACATACTCCTGACCCTTGCACTTTGTTCACCGGGTCATGGATGACATACTACTGACCATTACACTATGTAAGCTGGGCTGCATAGAAAAATAATTCCAATCAGGTTTGGTTCAGAATTTGGCCTTGAGTACCACCAAGGGACAAATCGTGGCCCTTGAATTCTTATTCCAAAGACTGCTGTCATTGGTTAAGACTTTTGTACATGATGCCTCTCATGTGATCCTTCCTGCACCTCCTGTGACCGCACAGAGTGTGAATTTGGTTGTGTTGGCTCTTCATAGAACACCATTTGAACCCATTAGGGATAAATCTTTATAACTCTCACTCACATGGTTGTGTTTCTTGCTTGCCATCACCTCTGCGTTTGTCTGAGCCACCGGCCTGGTCTTGTATAAGAACCCTTTTTGGCCTTACAAGAGGATACGCTGGTATTAAGGCCTATAGCCTCTTTCCTTCCAAGGTGGTTTCCATCTGTAACCTCATCCAGGACATTGTTCCTCCATCTTTATGTCCAGCTCCAGTACATCAGAAGGGAATCAACCTTCACTGCTAGGATGTAGTTTGTGCGGTATGGGTTTACCTTTCAACCCACAGCTTCCATTAGAAAGACTCACTCTATTTTTGTCATTACTTCCCAGAAGAGGCGGAGCTGTTATAGCGGCAAAGGGCGGAGCCAACCCAATACTGAACCCTACGGACTAAGACTGGGATGCCATTAGAGTTCATGTGCGTGTAAAGGCGTCCCAATACTTTTGGCAATATAGTGAATAATATATATATATATATATATACACACACACACACACAACTGGTGTACATTTCCTCTAAGATTATCCATTTCTAATGTATATGTAAACAGAAACTTTATTTTTCCATTATTCCCCTGCAGTTTGGCTGTCGTGTCTGAGTCACATAGGAAGCACGGTTTGCATGCGTGTTCAGGCCTGTGATGGATGTGCTGTAGATTCTCCTGCGGCGCTATCCCTGTCACATGTGAACCGGATGACTCTTCACAGAGCTCATTTTATTATCCTCACCGATTAGATATAGAAAACAGTTGGATTCTCAAGTCACCAGGAACTGCCATGACCCAGATCGGCGACGCTTTCAGCTCCATCCCCATATCACACTCTTGTGTCAGCAAAGATTAAAAGAAGTGAAAGTCAGAAATCATGAAGCTTTCCTCAGAGAGTGAGGAGCGCCGGAACACTCAGCCTGTATTTCCAAAGGTCATAGTTTATAATTTTATTCATTAAACCAAATAGATTTTTTATCTAATAGACCAATTGTGCTTTTATTGGTTTTTTTTTCTCATTTTGAAGATTGTATCATGAGAAGACAATGATTCTTTCTATGGTTTATATGTTCATAGCACTGAAGAAGGACGTTTGCAACCCATGGTGACTTTTCTTTGTAGATTTAAAATGTATATTATATATATATATTAGGGCTGGTAATGATTAAAATGTTTGTGTTCGATTAATCAAAATTTTTTTTAATCGATTAATTTCGATTAATTATAGGCCATTATTATACAGCCAAGGGAACTGTATAACTGGAAGACAAAAAGAAAGAGAAGGGTGCCCACCCTAGTGCAGATGGTTCTTTATTGTTTAATAATAGCAAAATAGAGTGCTAAGGTATTCACAATGGTAGATCGATTAGAAGCATAAATGAGTAGTTCAAGGATACATCAGTTTACAAACTTTAATCAGCCTGTGTGCCAATATGGACGGCACACAGGCTTATTGAAGTTTGTAAACTGATGTATCCTTGAACTACTCATTTATGCTTCTAATCGATCTACCATTGTGAATACCTTTGCACTCTATTTTGCTATTTTTAAACAATAAAGAACCATCTGCACAAGGGTGGGTGCCCTTCTCTTTTTTTTTTGTAATGCCTTACCTGTTTGAAAGGTTGAGCTGGATGCTGTCGTAATGCTGTGGTTGCTGGATGCTGTGGTTGAATCGGTGG